CCACAGGTTGGGCAGTTGAGGTCCAATTGAGACCCGATGTCCTTTGCTGTGTGTCTTCTCCCTCTTTCTTTCTCTTTCTCCACTTCCTGTCTTTTAAATAAAGGCATTTACAGCATTGTTTTGGTCTCTAGAGACACTTGGGATCAGGGGATTGGCCACTTTGACTGACAGGTGTCCTAACACAGGCAGATCAGTTTCTACTAATTTATGATTCTGTATATAAGTCATTAAAGTATGAAAGGACTAAGGCACAAGAACTGGTTCACTCCACTTCTGTCTGCTGCAGGCACGGACTGCTACAATTTAAGGTCTTGCATAGGCTCCATCTGTCTAAATTGAAGGTTTCAAGGATGTTTCCAGGGGCCGATTCAAGATGTGACCGATGTGGCCAGAATTCTGCCTCATTGTCACATATGTTTTGGACATGTCCTAATATCGCTACCTACTGGTCTAAAATATTTAAAACTTTGTCTGATATTTTTTAAAAACAGCTCCCCCCAGACCCAGTAATGGCACTATTCGGTGTAGCTACAGTTAAAAACTTAAATAATAAACAAATTCATGCTCTGAGTTTTATAACATTGCTTGCAAGACGCCTTATACTTCTAAATTGGAAAAATAAAGCCCCCCCAACTCATTCTGCTTTATTAAGAGACACAATGTATCATTTACAGTTGGAGAAAATTAAATTTTCATTAAGAGATAATGTTAAACAGTATTACCTAATTTGGCAACCCTTTATAGATTACTTTAATAAGTAAAACTGAGAGGTTTGGCCTCCTCTCATATCTGCCCCAAGATTATATATATGGGTCTACGCAGGTGTTGTTTTTTTTTTTTTTTCTTTTTTTTTTGTTTTGGGGGGGGGGGGGGGGTTCGTTTGTTGTTGTTGTTTTTTTGTTTTTGTTTTTTTTTCCCCTCTCTCCCTCCTTTGAATATACTTATTTAGGATAATAAATGTGTATGTATAGACATAGATATGATTGTTTATATAATGATAATTATATTTTATGTAAAAAGGATGGGGAGAGGAAGGAAGGGAAGGGGAAAAAGAGGGGAGGGGAAGGGAAGGGGGGAAAAAAGAAAAAAAAACTATGTCAATGTAAATGAGATATATATTTTGTTGCCTGATTTGAATAAAGAAAGGAGAGAGAAAAAAAGTATGAAAGTATATGCTAAAAAATGTGGTACACACTGAATGAGTAAGATTATGATCCAGTAATATATTTTTTCAGAAAAAGACCATTTGGCTTAAGGAGTACTTTGCTGTAGTTACCTTTAGTGAAGTTGGGCTACTTAACCAGGATTATGACTTTTACTTCAGGAAAGGGTCTAAATATTTATGTCGCCACTTTACTTTACTGTATTTCTTTCGGATTCAAAATTTGAATTTCCTCCGTGCACACCGCCCTGCTCCACTTAAAAACTCTTGGAGACAGCCTTCCTCTTACAGTCCAAAGAACTGCATGTTAGGTTAATTCGTGATTCTGAATTGCCCATAGGTGTAGGCTGCGAGAGTGTGTAGCTGTCTTTCTATCTGTGATCTTGACCTTTCTGGGGGTGTATACCCCACCTCTCACCCTACGATGGCTGGGAGAGGAGTTCACAGTTTTGGAATGAGAGTGTGTTGGAGCCCGCTGAGATCCTAATGGGTATCGCTCTTTAAAGAGCTTCTGCAAAGATGACTTTTTCCAACCCTGGCAGCAGCCTGTGGAGATGAAAAATAAAGCCCAAAGCTTAAGTGCAAAAAAACTGCAATTCTTCTAATAACCACTTGGGATTGGCTCCCAATGTGAGTCAGTTCACATACACTCTTTATAGCAGAAATAAACATGTTTATTGCTGATACAAAAAGAGGTTTTGATCTCGCCTTCAAAACAACTCCACAGGTGGTAATTTGTGTGTGTGTGTTTTCCTTTTTATATTTTATTTATTTATTTATTTCAAAACTCATTATATATATATATATATATATATATACATTATATTTTAAAGTCTGTCCATTGCCCAAGTGCCCATTAATCTTCATATAATGAGCAACAGAAGGTAAAATTGACTTTTCTGATCTCCTTCTCCGCTCCAATGAATAACAGGCCTATAGACTTGCAAACTTCTATAGCCATTTGTATGTTACTGAAGGTAAAGAGAGTTAAAGATAAATCTTTTCATTCCAATCTTCTGTCTTTTTATATGCTTTAAATGCAATATCAGAAATGAATTCTGAAAGCAGCCACCTTGACATGACTTTCTGCCCAGTTCTTTTGCTGTAGTTTGTTGAAGGACTTGTAGCACAAGGTATACTGCGACACCAGATGGTATGAAGAGGCCAATGCAAAAAATTAAAATAAAATAAAGAAATAAAAAATAAAGAAATATGCCAAGGGAAATTAAGCTTCTAGCTTGTTTTTCAAAGCTTGACTAACCAGTTATGTCACAACAAATCCTACTCCAGGCAAAAAGCTTTGGTGTTGCTGCTTTGGCATCGCAACTGCTTTGCATGTCAGTTCAGGCTGGGCAGAGCAATCCAGTCATTCTCAACCTGAGGGACTCTATACCAAGAAATTCAACTCATGAATCATGCACACCCAAGGCTCCAGCATAAAATCACTCATTTTTTCCATTTTTTTCCACGAGACGAAAAAGTTGGACAGTTAATGCCAGGAGCAATTGCAAAAATAGGGATATTTTCTACCTTGTAATGCTTTCAGGAACTACCCACTTCACTCACATTCTGTGAAAAGATAGGAGATTGGGAGCATGAGTTAGGTGCAAAGTAAAGAAGAATGGAAGAAATGCACACCTTAATTTCTCAGAAATAATTTCATCTTGCTTGTGACCTCATTTCCTGGAAACTGCCTAGCCTACAGAGACGGCCTCTCATTACCAGGTTCTTTTTTTCTAATCTTATTAGGGTTGTAAAGTTTTACAGCACAGAGGTCTTAGTGACATACAGTTCACCACAACTAAGCTGTTGCTGGCAGTCTTATTCTGTTTTACTCCAGACCACTTAAAACAAAGAACAGGTAAGCTTGTTTGTTTAGTACCACACTTGTAGCCAAGAATAATATACCATTCATTCTTTTATGGAAGCTTCAGACATAATTTTAGAAGTTTTAGGGCTGCAGTTTACATACTCTGATCGTACAATGAAAGTTAAACATTACTTCAACGCAAAACAAGGTCAGTACTGCCATTCTGTTTTCCACAGTCAATCTGATTCTGTTAGACGTGTGCAGACAAGAGCACAAGCTGAAAATATGTTGTTGGCAGGGAAAGCAACAACATAATAGCAATGCTAAATAATGACTCAGGTAAGCTGCTGACATTCCTGTGGACTAAAAGACAATGGCCTGAGGTCTCGTGTAAGTGCGTTACATTAGTGTCATTATCCTTTAAATGCCTTTCGACCAACACTTAGAAAAGAAGAAAAGATTCACTGAATTGCTGTATTGCAGCTCAGATCCTTTCATTGAATTAAATTGAATTGTGTGACTGATATTTGCATTGAGAGCAGTTGAACCAAACTGGCCAGGAAGTGCAGGTGCATCTTATAAGATTATATGTAGTAAATATAAGATTATGTGGTATCAAAGGGAACTGTGAGTTTATTTTTATTAGTTTATATTTATGGTTGGGCGGGGTCAATTTTCAGAAACTTTTAGTGAATAGTGTTGCAGATGTTCTTCAACAAGAACCCTCGAGGAAAGACGTGGAGGACGGAGACCGTTTCAACTTCAAGTCCTTCTCATAAATTATCAAAGAGAAAAGCAACGCAAGGATTTTCTATCAGTGTCTTAATAATGATTTATAACTAATCTGTGCAGTCATAGCAAATAAATGCTTTTGAAGATCTGAAGAGGATCTGAAGTGAAGCAATGACGATGTGATTCAAGCGCACACTTCCTGCTTTAATTCCAGAAAATTAACTTTTTTGACCCCTCAGCTGTAAAAAACTGATGGGGTATTGATGTCGTCCTGCCATGGAACTGGACGGGCGGGCAGGTGGAGGGCGGCATGGATACCCAAGTTTGTGAATATGATAACTCGAGAAGGAGGCAACGTAGGATTTTGAAATTGATACCATAGGTGCATCTATAGTATAAATCAGACGTCAAGTGTTCTGAAAATCTTGCAAACAAAATCGAGGATGATGTCACCTTGGATTTTTAAATTGATATCGTACATCCATGTAATAGGATGCTGAGGGGGAATCCCGACAGCCATCAGAATTTTTTTTAAACTGCAGCCATTTTAATGAGCTCAGTAGGCAACGCCATTTTACTGCATTTGGAGATGACTCAAACACATGGTGTAATTCAAGTGGTCTGAGAGGGAACTAGACTAGTGCACTTTTTCTTGGCTCTGTTTCCAGCCTTTGTAAAGTAAACACTGGCTAATTTTTAACCTGAAAGAAGGACGTGCCCATGGCGCCGGTTTGGCTCAGTGGGTGAGCAGGCGACCATATGCTGTATGGCCGCAAAGCAGTAGGCCAGGGTTTGACTCCAACCTGCAGACCTTTGCTGTATGTCTTTCACTCTCTCTCCGCTTCTATCTACACTCTCTCTATCCAATAAGGGCTTAAAGTCCCAAAAATAACATCTTAAAAAAAGAAGGAGGACACGCCCGTGCTCATAGTGAAGGATGGGCAGGGGTCTATTTTGGGGTGTTTCGTTGTCATGCAGTTTTTGATTGGTTAATTGTTTTTCTGTTTGATTTGTTTCTAATTTTTTTTTTCTCCCAAATTTCTTGAAGCTGAATTTTCACACTTTACATCGCATTTTGTTCACTTGTATTGAGGCACAATGACAAAACATGAGCTGTTTTCCAATATATTTAAGGACCTGACCATACATCTCTCCAAAAAGATGCCACAGTGGATAAGGGCCACATTGTTCATGGGGCAGCAGAAAGAAACCCCGCTGCACTGAGATCTCTGCTGTTTCTTTTCTTCACAGGCTGAACGAATAGTCTGTGAAAGCTGGTCTCACCAAACAATCATCATGAAGAACACAACAGAAGGTGATTTATTCTTTAATAATAACATATTTGAAGCTCCACCCCCTCAGCAGGGGTTCATTTTCAGTTTCACTTTACAAATGAGACATCCTCTTCGTGCATTTTTATTAATGCAGTGATTTACCACGGGCTAAGTGCCTCCATCCTCAGTTCTTTCCCTCTGCCCAGCTCATATAAAGGCCCTCTGGGCTTTTTTTTTTTTAATGGGATATTTAATTTATTTTTTCCATTTATTTTTGTTGTTGTCGATGGTGTTGTTTTGTATTTGTGTTTGGTTTAATGTGCATACATGGCATTGAATCTGTTTGATATGAACAACTGTTTCAGTGTTTCTGCACTTTGCCTTATAGGTAATTCTCTCCATTGTAATTGCAAATAGTTTATTATTAATTTAATTACATTGCATTGGGAGCTCACAGTTTTACTGGCTAATAATGTCATCATTATTGTTTTCACCTAGACCACAGACTCCTAAGTAGTCCCTTTTCCTATCCGTAGCTTATCTTGGCATCTTTTCTTGACCAACAATCCATTCTTGTGTTTTACTAAGTTAGTAATTAAATATATTTTCTATTAGAGAAAGGTACAGTTACTTTATGTGCATGCCTTCATCCAGTCAAATTAACTTGAAATGGTTGGTTTGTTCCTAGATTTGTCATATTAAAAATTACAGTGGTTGATAGCAGCCTGTCCACTGCTGCTCAATTTTTCCTTCCCATTTTCTGAAATTCACTTCCGACTGGAGAACTTGTTTCCCCGGTTTCAGTTTGACTTTGCACTGATGTTCTGCAGTATGTCAAACAGTTTAGCAGCTTTGGATTACTTGGTAGGAATTGTGGGGACTCTCTGAATAAGACTTTACGTTTAAAATGCATGAGGATGTAAAATAAGAAAACCATGATGCTCTTTCTTTTTAATTTTTTAGATGACATATATGCATACGCACTGTCCAAGACACTTACAAAAGTCTCATCACCTTTAACTGTGGGACTCTACGCTTCATGTGAGAATCGAATCAACATGATCCTCAAACAAATGCAAGGTAGGTTTGTCTGGCCCAGCCTACCAGGCGCTAACGACAGGATGCTTATTTTGAAGACAAACACGACTAAATTCTCCGTGTTTTGCATGTAAATACAGTTTTGAATCTGTTTCTTTATCGCAGTGCCAACAGATGGCTGTGAACATGATTGCAGTGTGTAGAACTATAGCATGGTGACTATAAAAACTGCAGCTTTCGCAATAACGCTGTGGTGTATAACAATATAACATTTGCTAAACGTGCTGTTTTGTTTTTGTAATGAGTCAAAAAATAGAGCTCTTGCTTCCTCATATATGAACTGACTATAGGCAATCTTTTTCTCACTTTACAGACTGACTGAGCTTTTTTACCACACTTAAGCTGTTGTTGTAAAAGAGATAACATGACATCAAACATTCCACAAATGAGGACATAATCCTGTTGAGTATAGTTTGTATATGCAGGCATTTCAACATGTAAACAAATAACACGAGCAGACTTAATGAAGCAGGTTTATTAGAGTAGCATTTTTTTAAACGTAGGTGTTTTAAGGATTTGATACTAACATAAAATACTCGTAGAATAATGAAGCTTCAAAATGTTGCAGACAGATGATATACAGTGTTATTCATTAACTCTGTATATGATGGATTATTGTGTATATTATATTTTCTTGTAATAACCAGTAGACCAGTAGACATGTATTTTGTGGAGTAGGCATTCGACAGTGTCCCTCGGAGTGTCCTGTGAGAGGTGCTTCCGGAGTATGGGGTGTCTGGCCCATTGCTACAGGCCATTTGATCTATATACAACCATTGCAAGAGCTTGGTCCGCATAGCCAGCAATAAGTCGGACTCGTTCCCAGCGGGTGGTGGATTCTGCCAGGGCTGCCCTTTGTCACAGATTCTGTTCGTAATTTTTATGGACAGAATTTTTAGGCATAGCCAAGTGGTGGGAGGCTTTCACTTGGGTGGTCTCAGAATTTCCTCTCTGCTTTTTGCAGATGATGTGGTTCTGTTGGCTTCATCAGGTGATGGCCTCCAGATCGCTCTGGAATGGTTTGCAGCCGAGTGTGAACCTAATAGGACTTGTCCTTGTCAAATTAAAACAATGCTGAACCTTGAGCACCACTTATTAAAAGATTTAAGTGACTGTATATATACAGAGCCTGTATGCATACTTGTGTGGATCAGAGAAAATCTTAAATAAATTCAAACTTGTGCACCCAGTTTTTGTTTTTAAAATCATTAAAGATGAATGCTGTGCTTGTTCCACCCTGGAAAAATAACAGTTCAGAGAAACTATCAAAAGCCTTAAATTACCATGACATTCAACTCTGTGACCACAACTCTGTGCCAAATAACCATATTTCTGCCTTTATTAATATTATTCTTAAATGTAACTCAACCATCAGATACCTGTGTCAGTATTCTATTTGTTTTGTGTATTTTCAGTGTACATGAATTCAGAGGCTTCAAGGATTGAGCAGGAATATGCAAAAGGATCCAGGCCTCGTTCGGTTAAGCCTTCATTTACCGGCTTTTTTGCACTTATTGGACGACTGCTCTTCTACAGGCCAATCTGGACAAAGGAGAACCAGCAGGAACGAAACGTCAGATTCATTTATGTGCATTTCAGTGCTTGGCATTTTGCCGGTAGTGACCTGCTTTGGGCCGGTATAGCTATACGGCTGATTGAGGCCATGCAAATGAACTTTGGAAAATTACAACTTTTACTCTACCGTGTAGCTCAACATGATGAAGAAGAGGAAGTCAAGAACAAGGTTTGTCTCAATAGAGCTACATTTTTGTCTAATTGTTGAGAGCGGCAGATTATTTGCAAAATGCTAACATCAACCTGCTAACATGGTCCTACTGACAATTTGATCCGATACAGATACCAATATTTGGTGATTTAAAAATCTGATATTCCTATATATTGGCCAATATTTTTTTTCATTCAGAAACACAAAATATAGATTTCGCTAATATAATAACATAATGTGTAGCTATTTTTTTACATACACTCCACCCGACTCTGCTCATACTATCTGCTTAGTACAATGTTTCCCAACCACTGTATGTGCCACAACAAATGATCAGGTGTGCCTTTATCTGGTTCCACCTGATTAGTACTCTAAGTGTACTCCGTGAGTAACGGGCAGAGGAATTACATTCTCTTCTACTAGAGGGCAGTACAACTTCCTGCTCTAATTAAATGGGTTGTCAACTGCCAGTAAAACAGAAGAAGACGAAGATGAAATTACATAATAGTCATGCTGTGAGTGAGACAATGCAGTGTGCAATAGCAATAGATAAGTATTTGAAAAGAGAAAATAGACAATCTGACCTGGGTCCAGGAGAAAATTCTGACCCAAATTAAGGCCCTAGCATGAGTGGTGGTGAGTAGAAAGCAAAAATGGTATACGGCAGAAAAACCAAGCCAATTCGTGCCGTGTGATTTTTCTAATGTGAAATATGTGGCGTGGCTCCAAAAGGTTGGGAAACACTGGCTTAGTGTATCTGTGGCATTCCAAAATGTGTTGTCAAGTTCCAGAGTGCCCTCTACTGGGCAAACTATGCAATGTCAACACTCACAACATTAGTGGAGGGTGCTTTGCGCATCCTTTTTACTTTTTTTAATTTTGCTTTTTCAACCATTATAAATCTCGATAATGACAAACGTGCCAATAAAATCCGCTTGACAATAATTCTAGAGGTTTATAACAACAATCTTTTTTATTCTGATGTTATAAAGATCATGTTCAACATAGTCATATCTTAGTTAAGCCTGTAACTATAAACCAGACTTTTCTATGCTGTCTGTTTTTAACACTGGTAGAAAGAATTCCCAAGAAAAAATGTTAACCAGAAGGTGTGTTGGTTTTTGAGACCAGGTAACTAGTTCTGTAAACTGTCGAGTCTCATGAAAGTAATCACAAAAAATGTTTTGACCTGATCCATAGAGGCATTTAAATATCTTTACCAAATTCCATCAATCTAGCCAGTAGTTCTGGAGATATTACCCAGAACCAAAATGAGAAATAAGACCTCATGGTACAGAAAATGTAAGAACATGAACCTCATTTGGCAACTCTGAATCCATGTTTAAAAGCATGATAATAATGTATGTATATATGTATGTTTTTCTCTATTTTGCTTTGTTTTTGTTTTAAAAAAAACTCAGATTGTGGAGGATGGTCCTAACCACTGGAGTTCCAAGAAGATTTGCTGCTGCCCACTGTGGCTTTTTCTCCTTTCCCTTCTGGTGGTACCACTTATCATCCTGATTATCCTGTTAACGGTTGGCTTTCCCAAATTTGGACTGAAACCAGATGAGGAGGTGGATGACAGCAATGGCCAGGTGGGTGTGCTGGAAGGCCTGGCAATTGCCACATTAGGGGTCCCTGCAGTGAGCATACTGAAGTTTATCATTCTGATGGGGAAGAACTTCATCTTCAGCCAGACACTGAACATTAAGAGAGGGATGGACAATGAGCGGCTCAGTGGTCAGTTGGGCTTCATGAACGAAGTCAGGATGGAAATGTGGTGTTTGTCCCGCTTCATCCAGTTTATGGAAGTGTTCGAGAGGAGAAGGATCCGAATCGTGCTGAATATCACTAATCTGGACCGCTGCTCTCCTAAGAAAATTGTTGCAGTCCTGGATGCTATGAACATTTTGCTTTCAGATGAAGAGAGCCCATTTATTTCCATTCTTGCTGTAAATCCGGAAGTCCTTGTAGAGAAAGTGAACTTTGCAGATGGATGCTTGAGCAAAGAGGACAAAGCATATGCATTGCTGAACAGCATAGTGACTCTGCCCTTCACAGTCCCACCACTGTCCAATGATTCAAAGCGCAGTTTACTTTACAGACTTAGTAGCAAGTCAAAAATTCAAGAGGATTCTCCCACGGTTGAAGTCAAACACAGAGGAATTCCTTATTCCTACGATTCCTCCAATTCGTCTCTAGAGAAGGTTACATCTGAAGCAAAGGAGATGTACCCTCTGATCAATACAAAAGCAGCAATGCTGGATATAAAAGATGAACTAGATAACTTAATCAGAAGCATCCTAAGCAGTAATGACAGGAATCTAAGCAAGTACATGCTAGATGATGTCATGTCAATGAGAAGAGTGATCAACTCTATTCGAGTAACTGTGATAATCATGAAAGCCTTAAACCTAGAGCTTCCTCAACCAGAATACATTGCAGCATGGGTGATCCTAGCCAATCACTGGCCCTGCCGACTCAGCTGGATCCTCCAGTGTGTGGAAGATGCTCAACAAAGGGCAGATATTGATGGTGAGGCTGGGCCCAGCGATTATGATTCAAAGACCTTATGGCAAGTCTTCAGTGTGTCCCAAGCAGAGCTGTATGTAATGAGTGGACAGATTGAGGACTTCCTGGAGCAGGATGGAGATGCTGAGCTGTTCGAAAATCTTCTCAAAGTAGATTTCCAGTTCAAGGTAAAAGACTTGAAGACATTTGAAGCAGCAACAGTGAACCTAGATCATTCAATTAAGAATGAGCTGGCTCACATCAGAGGGACATCCAGGCTGAAAGATTCTGGTTGGATGAGGAACCTAGCTCCACTGCCAATCACAAAGATCATTAATATGAACACCGAGGATGTATGTAAAGAGGTAAGAAATTCCTTAAAAGCTATGTTCTGTAAGATTTCAGTCTTGGCTGACCTCTCGTGACATCTTGAGCAGCTGATTTTCAGTAATGCATAAGAAAACACACCTGTTCAGACAACTGGTTCAATGCTTTATCATCTCAGGGCATCACATGAAGTCATTCTATTAGATTATCTGCATCCTAGCATCCATCTGTGATGGGTTTAGAGTGACAGACCCATCTTTCTGTGCCAAAGGACATCTTGTGCAAATCCATGAGATGCCAGCAACTTCCCCAAAATGGCAGTATTAGATGGTCTGGGACTGGGACGGTGTTCTGGTTCCTATATAGTCCAGTCAAACTTGTGGTTTGATAATAATGAAGAATCAGTCAATAAATACCCCTTTTCTTTTTTTTTAATCAAGTCATATATAACCTCAGTTTTTCACATGGTGCGACACTGGGCTAGGGTAAAAGGAGTTTTACCTGAAAGATTAGAGTTGTGTTGCCTGCCTGCAGCTCTTCCCCTAATAGCTCACTTTATTGTACCATTACTCAGATGCTGTATAAAAAAAAAAGCACAGTAAATAAACATTTTGCAGAAGCATTTCTAATGAAGGCTTGCTTTTACCACTTTGTGATAAATACACTGAAAATCCTGACTGCAGCACGCAGTATTTTCATTAGAAAGAACTTTATAAGGCACAGATATGATGTAGAGAGAATGAACAGCAATGACACTGGTGTGATAAAATTACCAACTGTAATGAGTATTTAATTGCATGCACCATTTACTATCCTTCCTGCTTAGGTTGACTGTAAACATTTAACATTGCTATATAGAGGGAAATGCTAAAACGTAGGCTAATTACGCTGAAGGGCTTTTGCTGAAAACAAGCAGTGTGGTGTTATAAATCAATTAAATTATTTCAGGAAGGATAATATTGCTCAGTTTCACATTTTCTTTTTTTTCCTAGCTGGAGAGGATGCGATACCCCAGTAAGTACATCGACATTGTGAAAAGCAATGACCTCAATGGGTCAGCGCTGGTCTTCGGCGATGTGGAAGACCTTAAAGACCTCCTACAAATGACTTTTGGTGAATGGGCAACATTCAGGCTGCACTTCTTGGGGTTTCCATCACATCTGCGACCACAGTACAAAAACATGGCAACAATACCTTCTCACTCTAAAAACCAGTTATCGAAATTCCACCCTCAGGTTTCTCATCATTATCTGTCTAATCCCAATCTGGTTAACATGTAACATGGAGTCAATCTGTCTCCAGGAATTTTTTTGTGCACATATAATTCTAACATGTTTATACTGCTGAATTAATTAAAAAGCCAGAAAGGGCTTTCAAATCTATATGCTATGTGAAGCTAGCTAGCAGGTAATTAGCAGGTTATAGCATAAAGGCTAAACACTTGTTTGTCACAGAACTAATAAAACCCGCAAATGACTTTTTCATATTCCCAATTTTGCATAGATCAAACAAGCAGTATGCCTCATGTTTATTAGTTACTTTGAGAGCCTTACATTTTTTTTTTAGCAGAGCTAGCTGTTTTCCCTTAGTTGCTCCTGGTCTGTTTCCTGTGCCAGCTTAATCACGTTTCTGGCTCCAGCGCCTTATTCTTTGCACCCAGACATGGGTTTGCTATAGATTCTGGCCAGAAAGAAGATAAGTGTTTCCCCAAATGACAAACAAGCCCTTTATGTCCCCATTATCTTATCTGATTGCTTCTGATTTTATTGATGAACTCTGCTTTGTTTAGAGGTTAGATTATTTACTACAGTTTGTCAGGAAATCATCTGTAAACCAGTTAACTGTCCCCCACAGACCTCTTCTTGAGCAGGCTATTTGTGGCTTTTCCATTACAGTAAGCTGAACAGTACCACTGTGTTTAACATCTCAATCTGAGTTAATGGCCGTGTCACTCAACGCTGTGACTTCTAAACTCCTCTTCAGTTCTCTGCGAGATCTCATTTGCTCTCTCCTCAAACATGTTCGACCTGTTCTCCACAGTGCTCTCGTGGGATTTTAACTCTTCACGCCCTGTACTTTCACCTGCTGCTCGGTGCCGGGCTGAGCCATTAATCTTTAATCACAATGAATTGCCTTCCGTTCGGTTGTGCTTTATTTGTAATGAGTAGTCTATCTGAGCTGGATAGTTTGAGTGTATCACTTTATCCTAAACTTTTTGTTAAATACATACAGTTCATTAGGTTTAGGACGAAGTAGCTTATGGAAACCAACCGCTGACTTGTAGCTCAGACACAATAGATTAAAAACAGCAACAAGGAAAAGTCAGTGGTTTGGGTCATTGGGCTCTTTCTTTTCTTTTTTTGCTTTTGATGACCAATAGCAAGTAGCTGCTGCAACCAGAGGCTCAGTGTTGCAACATGCTCAACCTGTGGAGGACTGCATTTGTCCACAAGGCGATTGCACAAGTCACCTGATGGGAAGCAACCTGTCTCCAATCAATGACTGACTCAGATTGAATGCAATCACTCTCAAACAGACTGGTTGAAGTTTACAAATAATTGTTATATAAATGCAGAGAGATTGCCAACACATTCATCATCAGCTGATAAGCACAAGTCATCTGCATTGGATCTTTTTGCAATAAGGGATTTAACTCAGCTGCTTGCCAACTGGTTGTATTCTAGTTATGCCCCTGTATAAAAAAATAGGTTGTCATTTTGCAGTTAAATTGCTGTCTATGAGCAACTACGTCACTGTTTGTGGATGAAATTATATTTCTATTTACAAGGATCTGGTTGGACTCTGAATAGAAGAAGTGAATGTGCCTTTCTGTGTATGCAGATGGCAACAGAACTGCAATTTTCTCCCATTTATCACAGATTGTATGCATGTATTTGCCAACTTGACAGCAATCAGTCACAAACTGATGCAGACTGAGAGTAAACTGACTTGATGCACCAAAGTCACTCTGAGGACAGCGACTGACTGCAAGTGGTCAAAGCAATGATTTCAAAGACAAGATCGGAAAGTCATTGCACACCATCACAATAATCCCAGTCGTGCTAAAGTGTGACTGTAGCATTACAACAATCATACAACAGTCAGGTGTGAATATATCATCCTAGCTTGTTTACACCTTATAAAATTTTAAGTAATGTATGAGTTAACATTCATGAAAGACTTCATTTCAGTCTAAAGCAGCCACACTGCGGTTATTCAGGCATGCCTTATTCCATAATAAGGACCACATTTGTTAAATAGTAATTGAGCAGTCTGTTAAACATGAACTCTTTTTAGTAAATTCCTTGTCAGACCTTACCTAGAAATTAAACTATTTAATTTAGTGTAACCGAAATGAATAATTACGCTCGTAATGTCAATTTGAGGAAGATGACTTGAGCAAAGCTAACTGTAGTGTTGCCTAGATACCATTTCAATGTCATCTGCTCCAGTGTCAGGTGGCAAATGTAAAAGTAACATAATGAAAGCTGTGAAGAGATTTTACTAATCATTATAATGTATTTATATACCTTATTGTAATGTAAGTTAAACCTTTACATATTTGTATTGTTACTGTCTTGTTGGATTGCCCTTTTTATTGTGTATTATAACATTTATTCTATACATGGAAATCTGTGAATGTTGAAAATGATCTGTTTAAAGTGCCTATGCCACAAGTTTTAGAAACTTGTGCTATTTTATAAACTGAATATCAGAAATGTTAAGAGAGGACTCATTTGAACTTCTTTTCTTTTCTTTTTTTTTCTTACCAAAGGATGAATCCTATTGCTGTTGGTGAACCCCATCAACTCTGGCACCGCCAGAGGGTTTTTGCTTTGACATCTAAAATTATATTCCATGTCCCACAGGAACTGCCACCAGACTTCAGAGTATTTCTAGTCCCAGGGCAATGTATTCAAATGATTTTAGTAATTCTATTGCTTTTCATTCATTGTCACATTCAGGTTCACTTTGGTGGTGTAAGAAACATCTCAAATGTTATTGGATCATTTGAAGGTTTGTGATATTAACGTCAACATCAGGATGAATACTCACGGAGGTCTCGCGGTGAATTTTACATGTATTGCGATCATTACAAGAACATTTAATTATTTAATAACTTTATCAGTGACAAAATATTTGTGAATGGGAGTAACATTGGTTTTCATCCCATTTTCATTGTAACTTGTGATTTACTCATATACTCAGCTCATCTACTAATCAAAGTTTGATGCTGTTTTGCGCTTGTTAGTTTATTTATGTCACATCCTGTCCGGGAGCTTTGCAATTTGAATTGCGAACTGAATGCATGGTGGTGCCAAACACATTTAGACAGTTGGATTTTAATTTTACACCGTCTGAAAAAACATGAACATGTTTGGCGTACATACACTCACCTGTCCATATTGACATGATAGCATAACGCAGTGGATGCAGATTTTTTTGGCTGCACATCCATGATGTTAATCTCCTGTTTCACCACATCCTAAACCTGCTCTATTGATGAGATCTGGTGACTGTAGAGTACATATAACATTTTCATTTTCAAGACACCAGTCTGATGTGATTTGAGCTTTGCGACAGGGTGTGTCGTCCTGCTGGAAGCAGCCATCAGATGGGCGCACTGTGGTCATAAAGGGACCGACATGGCTAGCAACAGTATTCAGGTAGACAGTGGCATTTAAGGGCTGTGAAGTTGGTACTGAGGGGCCCAAAGTGTGCAAACAGAATATTACACAACAGGACACCACCAGCAGACTGCAACTTTGATACGAGCATTTTGATCCATGCTTTCTTTTCTTTCATTTTTTTTTTCCACTTCTAACCCTACCCAGACCAATCTGGCACCAACAACCATGCCATGTTCAGTGTCACATAAATCACCTTTCTTCCCCATTCTGATGATCGGTTTGAAAACCAGCAGGTCCTCTGATCATGTCTACATGCCTAAATGCTTTGACTTGTTATCATATGATTGGCCCATTAGATTTTTGTGTTAATTATCAGCTAAACCAGTGTGCCTAAAAAGTGGACAGTGAGTGTTTTTGAAATAAAAGTCACGATAATGTATTCAGAAATACTTTATTGATCATTCATCCTGATGGTAAACACTGAATATATGCTGCCGTAAACTGTAAACTTTTTTTTTCCCCCCAAAGTATTTCATCATTCGAACAAATGCAGTTTGTTGTGTGGCACTTAATTTTCTAAAAAGATTTGCTGTTGCCAGCAAAATGCTGACACGGCAAAATATTTTAAACAAAGCAGGTTAAATATTCAGCTGAAGGGTCATTTCATTGGAAATCCATTGAAGAGTTTTTCACAGGAAGACGCAAAATGTTAATTTGTCTATAGAAAAAAATATATCTGATGAACATTTACCGTACGAACAACCTTACACAGCCACACACAATGAAGGCATAGAGAGCATGCTGACAACACTTTAAAAGACAAGGCTCGGATTCTGTAGTAGCAGCACCCTCTGCTGTTCCCATTTCTCCCAAAGGCCCAGTTTTAGTCATGTAATAATTCTCTGAATAGCCTGTCGGGCTGGTACAGAGGTGGTGCCAGAGACTATGCAGCTGTTTGTCCCAATGCAGTTTCATTAACACATAATGATGAAAATTGCTACTAGCTCCCAAAAATAACAGCTCATTTAAGATTTTGTTTTCCCCCCAAAAAGAGGCACTGTTACAATACTCTGAGGAACACAATGGTCCCCTTCTAATGACTCACACTCGTTAAAACAAATATAGGAAAGCATAGCACCACATTATAGTCATATTACATGTTCAAATATTAAAGGCACAAGTGTAAAGATCAAATTTTGTTCCTTGTATTTTTCTACCTTACAAGAAAATGATCACTTTGGCTAATTTAGGAATGTATTTAAAAAAAAAAAAAAAAAAAAAAAAAAATAGAGCAGTTGCATTTTAAAAAAAAAAAAAGGGAAAAAGCTAAAAAGCACATTAATGAAGCACATTTATGTAACGACCACAATGGTTTAAGTTTCTAATATTTATGTACCGATTAAATGCCAGGCTCTTGTTGTTAAGCAGTAGTTCCCCTGGATATTTTACCACCACATACATCACAGACAAAAACATCCAGGTTGTTTGGCCTGAAGCAGCTCATTTGGACTCTGCCAGCTTCTTGAGCCTTTTCTTGAGCTCCAGAGGAAACTTCTCATAGCACTTTTTACAAACAGGCTTCATGTCAAACTCAACAAACTTGTTCCTGCAAAGAGAAAGGATTAAAAATAAATAAATATATAAAATCACTGCTGACCAGATACAACAAAACATCTGAACCTTGCTTTTTCCCCCCCCTTTTACAAACCCATCGGCTGTAGTGAAAATAAGCAGCAGTTAATACAGAATAAGTACTGCAGTCCTACTAAAGCATCAGCTGAACCAAACTCATGCGTAAACATGTACGCTTTAGAGGTTTTGCTCAAACACCACTCACACAAAATAACTGGTTTTGCAAAATAAATAAGAAATAATAACATGCCACACTGTCGGGGGGGGGACAACGAGCACAGCACAAATAAAAGTAGTAAGTAAGCGATTGCACCAACCAATCGATGGAGTGGCGAGTTGTAAAGAATAAGATTTCTACTGACAGACAGCAGACTTTTTCTTGCGCTCTTTGGCATCGCGCTCACGTCGGGCCAGGCGGCGTTTCAGCTCCTCGGGCATGCGGTCATAGCAGTGCTTGCACACTGGCCTCAGGTCAATTTCAACAAACTTATCTCTGAGTTACCACAGACGCAGCAAGCGAAGCATGTAAGAGAAGAAATTGGAAGAGAAGGAAAAGAGCCAAAAGAGGGAAGAGTTGTCGGAGGAGAAGTGAATAATACGCGCGGACAAGTGTTAGGACTCGATGCAGAGGTGTTGGAGAAAACTGAGGACGGCGACAATCAGCTGGCTGTAAATGAGCACTTCAACTTACTTGAGAGTGAGTTTGGTGTTGCAGGTGGAGCATGAGAAACAGCTGACACACCAGGCCTTGTTGAGAGCGGACACAACTGGAGGGATAAAGATGTAAAATATAATAAAAAATGTGGACAAATCTTAAACATGGAGCTCCTCTATCTTCAAGCAGCACTTCTTAAAAAATAAAAAACACTGCACTGATTACAAGCTTTATCACCCTGATACTCACCATCGCCTTCAATCACACGGTTGCAGTGATAACACACATCACCGAAGAGCTTGATAACAGAGAAACAAGGAGATTAGGCGTTTATCCAGCAAACACAAATTCTTTTATATGCTGCTGGAGTAAGAGGTTAGCGCTGCTGTTTGGGGGGGTTTTCTTGGGTTTTTTTAGACTTCACTGTCGTGTTCTCCAAAGCCAAGATTGTACTTGCAGAGCTGTGTTTTTCTTTCTTACCTGGTTATAATGAGTCTCACAGTATGCCAGCCCTTTTCTCTCATAATGGCGATGACCGAGGAAAGGCTTTTCACACTTGGCACACACAAAATGCTGCAAAAAAGAGCAAATACTGCTGAGGGTTAAGGAGACCTCTTAAAAAATAAAAAACCCAGAAAGCATGCCAACTTCTCTAACGGTCAGAAACATGAATATTACATGAGCAGAGTATGTTTACTACCATATACAGAGACCACAGAAGAAATGGTTACTGGAAGAGCGCTACCGCTATTTTACGCCGTTTGTTTTTAAGATGCGGTTATCTCTCACTGTTGTGGAGAAACTGCCGGTGGTGTGCACGGAGTGTTTTTAAAATTCTTCTACTTTCCTGGCACTTGCCAGCTAAACTCCTGAAGTGGGTAGAATCTAAATTAATTTTGGCTAATTACCATCTTTAGCATTAAATTGAGTGCTATACGCCGTTGATAGCTTTTTGAACAGTACAAAGCTCAGCAGTCTCCATACAGATAAACACACAATTCGATCTGCCGCGCTCTGCCTCCGGAGAAATAAGCTTTTTAAAAGCGCTCACATCTCCCAAATTAGCTCACTTACAGCATTTTGGTTCCAAATTGGATATTTAATTAACTTAATTTTCTTATGCATAAGTAAGAGTAACTAAATATGAGAGTCATTATAGATTTTTATTATGCTTTTGAGGAAAGACTGTTTTGCACATAAACTTAACAGCTACAGCATTAAAAACACCTCGAAAAAATCTTTGAATGACTCTGGTCATGGACGACTGACCTCTGGATCGGGCTTCTCCCTTACGCTTGACTAGACTGGGATCTGAGGAGTTTGGATAATAGGGGAAGACTTTATTCGTTCCTGATCCGTTTGTGATGTATGGCACAGGATACCATCGTGCTGGACAGAATGCAGCTGTTCAGCAATGCTGTTGTGTTGGAAAATCTTGCCAGAAGCAAAGGTTTTCCAACAATGCTTGTAATGAGATGATTGATGTTATTCACTACAGCTGTCAGTGGTTTTAATGCGGTGGCTGAGCAGTGTATTGCAAGCAAAGAGAAGGCGGCCAGCATGACGTCAGACACTATTATGAACTTATCATTAGTCTTTGAGACATTCCTGTATTCTGACTTGTGATGTTAATTTTATAGAAGCACTTGTGACACTCACATAAGTTCTGCCTGAATTACTTTAATATGATTTTTTTCATATAATAAGCAGTTAGGAAGATGGATGGATGGATGAATGGTTTTGTCATTACTTTGTGTTTAATGGCCTCTTTTGTAAAGCTCCTACTCTGCAAGGAGGGAAAAAAAAAATCATCTATCACCATTTCTTTTAAATAAATATCAAATCAGGCTCACATCAACACGATTCCTGCAGCAAACTCCTAAAATCTTTGGCTTTTCTTTGAAGGAGCAAGCTGCTTAATCAAAGCCATGTTACCCCTGATTTCTTTTGCATGACTGTAACTTTGTGTACATAAACAGGCCCGTTCTCGTTCACGAACCTCCACATGCCACTGCTTGCCCATGGCATTGACAACACGCCCCTCGATAGGTCTCCTGCAGGCACCGCAGATGGGTACACCCATCTTATCGTGGCAGGGCAAACAGTAGAGCTCTCCTTTCAGCTCCCTAGCATCTGCTGTCAGCTCCCTCCTGTCCAAAGGGAAACAATGAAATGCATGATGAGCTGCCGAACACAGGCTGAACACACTAATGAAGACGGTCTTTCTATGAACCTTGAATGTATTCTGAAGCGTGTGGGCGGTTTTCTGCACTAAAACCCTGGTGTGGAGTGAGAAGACTGACCCGCAGTTGGTGCAGTTGAAGTGGTCCGGGTGATAGGGGTCGTTCTGAAAGATCAGTGGCTGCTCCTCGATGATGGCATGGCACTTCTGGCAGATGTACTTGCCCAGGCCTCTGGCTTTTTCGCGGTTATGGCACGGCCGGCACAGGTGCCTGAGGTAAATGGGGAAGGGATGTGAAGAGAGATCGCTGCAGCTTCAATAACTGTTTTGACACCCTCCATCATAGCTGTTTTGTTAGGATGCAAAAGCAATCGAGTCAGCAGCTTGACGTGTGTAACCACCTGTTTTACAGGCTGTCACTGTCTTATGACTGTAATCAGATGGGACGCTTACCTGCCAGCATTCTTGACAAAGCCCACATCTGCAAGCACAGCCTGGCAAATGTCACAGCAGAAGCAGTCGGGGTGCCAACTATAGTTCATGGCCTTGATGACACGACCAATGATGAACTCTCCTGAGGGAAACCATATGTGAGAGATCAGCCTGAATCAATCCTAAGATTGACTTTCAATATTTGTTGGGCCTAGATGTTATTTTACATGATGTTGTTTTTGGTTGGTGTACAGGAACACAATTATACAGTTTTGCAACAACACACTACAATATTTTCTATATTGTTCTCTTAGTGACACTTAAAATAAGACTACTGTTAAATGCCTTTTAATTTTCTGCATAATTAAATTAACAAAGACTGTGTTTCCCTTGACATGGATGAGAAGCACTTGAGTTAAGCTTATGGGATAGATCCAAGATGCACTAAAAGGCATCTTGGATGACCTAAATACAAGCGGGAAGCTCTAAATAAAAGTATAAATAGCCCTAAAGCCCAATGTGGACACACTGGGATCTGATCTAAACAAGGACCAATACAGAAAGTGAGGCACAGTAAACAGTGAACGCTTTAGGAGACGCTACACATCATGTGAAAGGTCTGTTGCAAGAAATCTGAGCAGAAAATTATCCACAGGGGTCGTTATGTGCCAAAAAAAAAAAAAAAAAAAAAAAAAAAAAAAAAAAAAAAGTGCAGCATGAGCACATCAGTGACAGCAATAAATGAATGAATGCTTAATTAACCACACAGACAGTTTATTTGAGAAAAGCTAAACAAACAGTATGGTTTCCACCAGTGCACTGCGAGCCTAAGAAACACGTCAAGACACGGGGGATTTTATTTATTCCCCACTTCCAACATGAAGATGAATATGTATATACTCCTGCAGGAGGGCACGGTTTACATAGAGATGAATGATTTAGCCTGAATTGATTAATACACTTCTGTGCAAGGATATCAGTTGAAAAGACAGAACAGTTTTCTTATAGTTTTTTTTTTTCTTTTGTGTGACAACAGATAATGCGGACTGCATTCCAGTAACACCCTTAAGCGAACTTAACAGCTGAAGCTATTCTCACATACCCTGGAGGGATGGCTCAACATAGGCCTGGCAAGGCAACAGGCTTGTAACACACTGGTGGAAACCCTACAACTATCAGGAAATAAAAATGAGCCATGCAAATGTTATAACGCAATAACGTTTGAGCTTCAGGAGTCCAGCTGACATTAATCCGCTTGTTTGCATTAACTACGGTGGGCTGAATCATTCATTCCTATGTGTGAAAAAGGTTAACAGTTATATGGTGCTCTCCCGCTGGTTGAGCCTATGTTACTTCCCCATGGTCCCTCGCTCTTCTCCCATCAGCAGTAAATGAAGTAGCAGTTTGTGCCACACAGTATTAGTGTTAGCCACCAAGCCAGAAACAATGAATTAAAATCCCCACAGAGTACCAAAAAGCCAAAACAAACCACTCCTACTGTTGTTGCACTGAGTGCAAATGTTTTTTTTTGTTTGTTTGTTTGTTTGTTTGTTTGATTGATTGACTTTCACCATGATTTAGTCCAGTTGTCACCACAGAACACAAGTCTAATAAAATACCAACTTGAAGCCATGTAACACTCACCACACTGGTGACAACAGGGAGCAAAGAGCATCTGGAAGTCATGTTCACAATATTTCCTCCCTTCAAACTGTAGACAAATAATAATTTAAAGAAAAAAAAAGTCGTTACATAAAGAAAAGAAAAGGGGACAAATATTTCCACACATGTTTATGAGCTATACACACTGAGCTTTGTACTGATGTAGTGTAAAATGAGCAGTGACTACTAGAGGATGTCTACCTCGTAGAACAGCCCCTCTGGAAACTGCTGGAAACACTGGGCACACACGAAGCACTGCTCATGGTAAAGCTCTCCATTACTGTTGACAATCTTCTCAGTCGGAGCGAAGCCGCTCTTGCATCGCTCGCAGGCTGCACTGGCCAGGGCATTAGCAATGCTGTTGCATGAAACAATAACACATACATTAGGTCTGCAACATCCTCTGACATGCAGGGCTGACAAATGACTGCAGTGCAAGTTTAGACTAGTGTTTATCATTTCTCACATAACTCCTATATCATCTCCTGAACTTCCTTCATGCAGCTGTCACCATGGAGAATGGAAATAATATTTGAACCCACTAACACTATTACTCACTGCAAAGTCATCACCTAATTTGGTAACAGCACAGAACAGTCAGGGGTTTCTCTGGCTGCAACTTCCCAAACACACAACCACTCTACATAGATATGTATATATAATTACTGATACATGTGACAACTAAATTATCTCACAATTTCTAACATTATCCTTTACAGTACTATTTACATGTAAATAACTAAAACGAGTCACTTATCTACGCACTATATCTGCTGCCATATCAATCAAAGACATGTCTAGATATATATGGTTGTTTGTATACCCTCCTGTTGTTTATACATTTCTATTTTATAGTTGTTGTTTGTTTGTTTTACTGTTTTAGGAAAAAGCTATTTTTAGCCTTTTGGTCAATAGTTCTACAATTTCAAATAAATAAGCTTAACAATTTTCCTAATTATTACAGTATTACAACTTTCTGACATTAATCCAGGGCACATGAGATACATTTATTTATTTTGTAAATACCAATAAAGCGCTGTGAATGATTGAATGATAAAAAAATTATGTGAGTTTTGAAAAAGGAGCTATACAAATAGCGAATACAACTAACTTAGCATGCTAGCCGTTGGCACCGTGTAGCATAGAAAAAACTAAGCTAAGTATGTGTAATGAAATCCGCAAACTCCGCAGAGTAATCTCTACACTTTGTTTGCCTTGTACCAAAATGTGGGGTGTGGTGATAATTATACTTGTGTTGCGATAATTATACTGTTTTGAAAAGCGTCCTATCTACTATAGAGAAGCGATGAGCTAACTTCTCCCCAGAGGTTGGCTACGCTGGCAAGCTGTTAGTGTTAGCCTGCTGGCTTCCAAAGCTAACTCGCCTCTACGCGAGTTTATGTTTACGCTACACACACAAAAACGTACCTGCCAGGCATTCCAGCCACACCCAACATCCTTGAGAGTAGAGCACCTTGAAAGAAAACTGTTATAAAGCTAACGTGCTCGATCGTTTCCCCAAGTAAAGCAACTTCAGAGAGCTCTGCTGCCCCTCCCAGCTGAGGGGGACTATCCGGCGGCAGTGACTCCGTCCTCCCACGGTGGGAGTGACCGGAGAGCAGCATCCGCCTAACCTCGACTGAGTTTATAGAGACACGACGTATTAAGTTACTGCAGAGCTCCGTGCATGCTTCTCATATATGGGTACATAAAACCATATTTAGAAAATAAATGTTCATTTAGGATTAAAAAATACAGAGGGTGTTGTTAAATTACTTTCGTGAAGTGTGTGGTTTAATAATTAATACAAGAAACGAATTTAGTAAAATGTCTGTGAAGGTTCAGCAACTTAAAGAAGTCCAGACGCTTTTCTTTGCAAGCTCCTTTGACAATTTAGTAAAATGAATTTCACTTGCAAAATGAATTCACAAAAGAACAGGACACTGAAGCTACAGTTCGCATGGGCTCATCAAAAGATTCTATAGCAGATTCCCTGGTCTGATTTATCTCAGTTTCTGCTGCAAAATTCAGTTGGTAGGGTCAAAATTGTGTAAAAAAGAAAAAAAAGCATAGATCCATCGCACTTTGGATCAATGGTTCTGGCTTATTTTGGTGTTGGTGTCGAGGATATTTTCCTGGTGTACTTTAAACTCTTTAGTTGGATTATTGCTGGCCATGCCCATCAATTCATGACCACAGTGTACACATGAGTTCATTCATTGTCATTGTCACAGCTGCCAAAATCGCAATTCCAATTTAGAATTAAGATTGTATTTTTGTTTTCTCCCATTCGTTATAGGTTATCTTTAATATTGAGTCTTTACTTTACAATATGAAGTGTTTGAGGCAACTGGCAGGGGCGCCACCAGGGGGGCACCCCCAAAATTTGCCGCCCCAGTAGTGTGCCCCAATGTTTTTAGTGGCCCTCATATGGCCATCCCTATGAAAAAATGCTGGAGGCGCCAGGGGCACCTGATATTGTGAACTGGCACTATTTAAATAGATAAAAACACCAATTACATGGGTAAAGTTTATAATTATACATGTGTTAATGCTCAGAAATGTACTTAAGCACATATTTGCACATGAAGTGAGTAATTTAAAGAACTTTAAAGAAAGTTTAATCTTCCCAAACTGTGGATCTTGAACCAATAATCTGACTTCATCGGCTCTTAGTCCACAGCTCAGGAGCTCAGAGCATTTCCTGTTTAAGAAATATCACTTATTGTCCTTTTAAATCCTGAGACCTAAAAATTTAATTAGCTGTGGCTGAAACACGAGACAGCACCGCAGGTTACGTCTTTTATCTGATTTCACTTAATGGAACTCTTACTAGATTGTGTCCTCTCTTGCTCGTGTCTATTTTTATGTCTTCATGTTTACTGCTGTTTATAAAGCTGCTTGAAAAGCACTTGGCTTGGAGGTAATTGCTGCATAAATAAAGTTTTGCTCGCTTGGTAATACACTTTATTCCTTTTTTCTCCAGTTTCCTCGCAGGGATGTTTGAAGTGTAATTTAACCTTTTTCAGCATCTTGCATAGCAAAATGAAAACGAGGTGACTCGCAGCATATGCATTAGCGTGGGCCTATTTGTGGTGGTAGCTTATTTTTAAAGCTAGTGATATGAGTGATTAACCTGCTCTTCTTAATAAACCTTTAGCCTTTCTAAATAAGATATTTTGCACAGACTGTCAAATAGAGGACAAAGGATAGAGAGAAAAGACTTAAAGAGGGCTAAATATGGATTAAAGAGAATCCAGTAACAGTCTGCTCCTAATTAATACATTACACTCAGGGTATCCTTAACAACACTGCATTTCATTGCTCTCAGAGAGTTATGATAGCATCTTATGAAATCTATACTCACATTTCTCTCTGATTTTGTAGCACAACAGCAACATTTTTTCTAACTTTAAAATAGGCGTATAGAATAGATACCTGCTCGGATATGTGTGCTTGTATTATCTCTCCTAATGCATTTAATATACACATAAACCAACAGCTTAGTGAAATGTCTTCTAGTATATTTTACTGTACATAGCAACCATTTGCACATCATAAAAATGGACTTTTTCATATTATTTTTGCTTGTTTCATTTATACACTGTCTTTTTCTTCCTCATTTGGTCTCATATGGGCAGCACAGTGGCACAGTGGTTAGCACTGTTGCCGCACAGCAACAAGGTCCTGAGTTCAATTCCACCTTCAGGCCGGGGTCTTTCTGTGTGGAGTTTGCATGTTCTCCCCGTGTTTGTGTGGGTGCCCTCCGGGTACTCCGGCTTCCTCCCACCCACCAAAGACATGCAGCTTGTGGGGATGGGTAAATTGGATAATCCAAATTGCCACTAGGTGTGAATGGTTGTCTGCCTGCCTCTCGCCCTACGGCAGCTGAGATCGGCTCCAGCGCCCCCCCGCGACTCTGAATAAGGATAAGTGGAAGCGAATGGATGGATGTTCTCATATATCTCTAATGCCTTTTTTTTTTTTTTCTTACTGAGCTTTGTGCTGCTGTAACTTGTGAATTTCTCCAGTATGGGGATTAATAAAGTCTATATCTATCCAAATACCTCACTGAACTCTGAATATGATCTTGAAACAGTTCAAAGAACTTAAATCCATGTGAACCGAAGCACATCATTGTCTTTATAGTACAATTTTTTTTTTTTTTTTTTTAAAGATTTTTACTGGAATGCTTCATCTCTTTGGGAAAAGAACGAGACATTACTCTCCAAAAATCTTCTCAATACAATGCAGCTTTATTTAGATTAAATATAAACAACATGTTGTTCTCTATACAACTGCAGCCCTTACTCGGCCAATTTTCTGATGCTACGATAATCATGTGCAAGCACAACACAAATGTGGTTAATATTAACCAACAGACGGCATATTTACATTTGTATAGATACACCATAAACTGTACTGTGCGCTAGTAAAGGATAAAGTCCACTGCCAGGCGTGGCAGCTTCGCAGAAACAGAAAACTTGCAAGTAAGATGTTACAGGGCCTGTTACAGGGTAGAATATCAATATAAAGGAGTGGCTCTTCTATTAACATTTGCCCAAAAAATAAAAAGTAAAAAAACAAAAAAAACAAACAGATAAGGTGAAATATGAACCTCATAAACTCGGAACATAATGACTGACAGTCTAAAAGGTGTCCAACTTAAATCAGCTTTCAGCCCACTGCAAGAAAAACAATAGAGAAAGATAAATATTTCAAGCTTACACATTCATGAAAACACTCGGCTACATCAACATTCAGCTGCCATACTGTCCCGTCTGCAGGGCTGCACGATTTCAAATATCATCTACAACCACCCGCTTCATTTCTGAAAGTCCACTGTGTCTGCAACAGGCTGAACAACACAGCCCTAACGTTACAACGGTGCGCACATCAATCAAATAACCTTTGAAATTCTGAATTTGATTCCCAATTAGTTACAATTTTCCTGAATCACTCTAATATTTCTTCAAGTTAGAAATAGAAGCATAATCAGTGACTGTGCTGTATCGAGGGTTTTGGTTTCCCAGGATGATTTCTGTGTGTCAGTTAACAAAAAAAAAAAAAAAAAAAATCCACTTTAGGATCTTATAATCTCAATGTTTGTAAGAAACGAACCTTGTAAAATCAAGTTAACTACAAAAGGTGGCTCAGAGTTATTAGACTGGAGAACCGCTGCTAAATCCTGTGACCATTTAGCTCCAAAACTGTTCCATTTCCTTCCCTAATGCTACTCTCGGGACCTTCATTAGGGTAAAAGTGCATCGAAAGGAATCATTAAATGTACAGATATATGATTAGAATTTCTCTCTTACATTTGTTTTTAAATATAACAGATTTTATATTTACAATTACAGGAACGTGGGTGCAGGCAATGCAGAAAATAAATTATCGTACATTACGCATGCACGCACATATATGTTTATATATACACATATTTATACAGTATATGAAGACAAACGCGATCATGGCCAAAGCGACCAAAGAAAACTGCCTCCACAATTTGCTGTCCAAAATCAAACACAGGGCAGAAACATGAGGTTCAAAAGCACATTCAAATAAAACTGAAGTCGTGACACAGTGATGGATGGAGCAGACAAAACAAGGAAGTACTGTCTGTGCCGCTGCCTCCCTCCTTGTAGTATCACATGATCAGCAACCACAATCTATAACAAGCTGTCGCCTCACTGTGAAATAAAAAAATCACTCATTCTTGTACAGTCACAACTTATTACTGCAGCTGTAAAGAAACAAACAAAAATATATCAGAAAAGCTTCTATAACATTAATTTGGGTGGCTTTGAATGAGTACTAAAATACATTAGCTTATAATGGTGATCATCCCCTTCTAAGACTAAACTGCCTGGCTTCAAAGACACTGGGTTCAGTGTGGTGATGATAATCTCTTTTTAAAATCTGCATGTTAACTCGCTTAAGTGAAATTAAGCTCAGTGCTTTAAAGTTTCTGATTTATATTAAAAGGATTATATTTACAAGGCAAAAAGGAATCTTTGTTACATGCATCTTGTGTGTATGAAACTAATTAGGTGCATTTATGCTCGCCGGACCGGTGGTTCTGCACGCCAACTGTGACGTCGCAATAGCGCATCATTTAAAGCAGGATTTGCTGCAGGATTTTCCTGAATGATAGGTGTCACCACTGACGTAAAACATCCACATTCACTGTGGCACAGGAGAAAAAGTCAAAACCAGAAGCAAAACAATTGCAATGATAGAATTAAACAAGAGGTTTACTTCTGACACGAGTGCACTCCCAAACCAGCTGCTGCAGCAATGGCACGGACACCTGTGTGAAGCTACAAAAGTTTGTGGATTGACCAGAATGACGAATAAAAGGCGCGGATTGCCCGGTGGATGTGATGTCACTTTCGTCGTACATCACCGTTCGTGAGGGCAAAAACGGCGAGCATAAACGGGCCATTAGTTACCAGACATATTTGTTAATCCCCCTGGAAAAGTGACACTCCCAAACCCTCCTCAAACACTATATTTATCCAGTATTAAAGGGCTGAAGAAAACAACATACTAAATGTTACAAATTACGTAAATTATAATCTATAAATATACTCCTAAATACAAAAGTTATATACAGAACTTTGTAGCTGAAATCAATACATGTTAATAAAATAAAATCAGTTTTCTTCATGTTTGAAAGATGAGCCTTCTACCAGAGCTCTACCACGTAGGCATCATGTCTGGGAACCAGACGCGACCCAAATGCTTTGATACCTCCCAGTGGATATCATCCAACCCATAGCGATGATCTGGAACCAGTACTTCCTCCATGATGGATAGCTGCGTCAGTCTGTCTCCACACATCTTGACAAACTCCACGAAGGCGCTGCAGGACACTTCGCACTCTCCCAAGCCAATGGCAGACAGCTGCGTGCAGCGCTGGGCGATGCGGATCAGCTCCTCGTCCAGCGGTCGCAGCCCGTTGGCGCACACCACCAGCTCGACCAGACGCGGGCAGTTGAGGCCGACGCGCCCCAGCACGTCTTTGCTGACGGAGCGGCCGAAGTACAGATGCGTGACGGGGATTTCGTCGCGGAAGAAAGGGCCAAACTCATCCTCGTAGAGGTAGAAGTACATGACCAGATTAAATTTAGGCGAGTGACGCTTCATGGCGTCCCAGCTGCTCTTTTTGATGGTGTGAAACTGTTGGCCGGGATTTTCACTGACCACGTCAATGCGGAGGTGCTCGAGATGCACGTGCTTCTCCGAGGAGAGGGCGATGAGAAGTTCATCGCTCAGCAAATGGTAGTTGAGAGCCAGTTCTCTCAGGCCATGGCACTGATCAGCCACACACAGGATGCCTGGAAATACACGCCCAAAAAATAAATGCAGTGTTTACTGGCAACCTGTACAGCACGTCTATAAATCGCACCCAAGCCCCTGAGAAACAAGGGAGAAACCTTACAATTTCAGCGATAACAGTTCTCAATCAATCAATCAAATTCTACACAATGACTAATTAGTCATTACTAATCATTAAGGCCCCTAATTTCTCTCATTTGTTCCATTTGTCAGTACCTGCAGGTGAAACGTGAGGGCAGCTGCTCATTTTGAGCAGTTTGAGCGTGTCGCTGTTATTGGCCACCAGGACTTTAAGAGACGGGTCATCCACAGGCGTGTCATCAATCTTCAGGGAGGACAGGGATTTAGAGTTGACGAAAACCACAGTCAGTGCTGAGATGAAGTGGGACTGTTGAACAGAGAAGAGAGAGAAACAATAAGCAAACATTTTATTTAAGAAATCTGCAGACAGATCTAGTAACAAGCATCTAATTCAACTACACATACACACTGAAACTTTCAGCTTTGTCTAGGAGCAGATGCACATTTGTGCAGGTAGTTGTAAAATAAAAGCTGCAAACAAAACAAGACCGCCGCACAGCAAATTACCATAATTCCACAGAGTTTCTTTTACATTGTATGCATCTGTGGGATCTGTCTTCTGAGATAAAGTGTCAAAGAAAACAGGGGCTGAGTACAAGATTTTGGAGATATCAACTTGTAGACCTTCCCACAGGCACTTGACTTTAATCAGACCAGCTTCCTTTCAGGCATTAATCAAAGGAGCTCTAAAGCGGTGGATTTTCAGATCTCTGCGGTGCGTTACAATTCAGAGACGCTCATGTCTGAGTGCTTCAGTGGTTCTCAAATCTTCTCAGTCATGCCTCATTTCTAAGGCTCTGCAAAAGTCCACCTTGTGGTGTCACGTCTGTTTTCTTTTACTTGAAAATGCACACGATGTAACCCTGTTGCTGAGGCTGACCTTAGGCATCTCCATGAAGCTGGGCCTGGCTGTGGAGATGAGCCCCAGAGTTTTCAAAGAACAATTCACCAGCTGAGAGAGGATGTCGCACGCTGCTTCTGCAGACTCTCTGCTGCTGTCCACCTGGCAGCACACAGAGAAAATGGCACTGTGAGTTGGGCAGCACATAAAAATCCACTTCGCTTCATCACTGAACTGCTGTAACCTCAAACTGCCCCCCTCTCTTTCGTACCTTGAAGCTGACATACTGCAGGTGGTCCGAATGCCTCTTGATGATCTGTTTGATGAGGTCTGGGTGTGTGGCCTTCAGGTAGGAGCTGGCTGGCTGGTTCAACTCAAACTCAAAGCATCGCCACAGTTCTGGCATGTGAAAGGCCTCGTTCCAGCCTCGGCATACCTGCAGCAACAACACAAACTTTTCAATTTTTCATGCTGAAGACAAAAATACTTCTTTTTTTTCATCCTCAGGCAAGAGGACAAAATGTGACTCAGAGAAGAGAAACCAATAATTAATCTTAGAGGTGTCACCCTGGCACAAATGTCGAGGATATGACTTGTTGAAACAGGAAAACAGCAACACTATACATCTGCTTGCTTACTGTTTAAACTCCTGCTGAGTTACGTAATCATAATGCTCAGAAGTTATTTGGAAAAATAGGAAAATAAATACCACTAATATTTTGTAGCAGTAGGTAGCATATGTTTGACATGGCACAGTAAACTGGTAAATAAGTATTTAATATTAATAATGATTTTTTTAAAAATACTTGACTCCGAGCCAACAGTAAAGCATGTGTGAAGCCGTAAGAAGCCGTAAGAACCTTCAAACATGCTGCATTGCAGCAACTTCCTTAGCCAACTGGGTGTGAAAGGAAATTAAGAAGTGTCAAAATCCTCACTGCCTGTTTCATGGGTGTAAATATATACATAACACATAAATAAAATATTTCTTATGCGTTTCTGCTGCTGGGTGCCCTCTGCAGGATTGTGACTAATTAGTTTTTCTTTTTTTTTTTGGGGGGGGGGGGGGGGAGAGACTACCCGGCTTAAAGTCACGAGACAGTGGAGAGGTGAAGTGTGGCCAAAAGAGATCACTCAATTTTGGTGTCTAACTACTTTTCTTTTTTAACTGCAAAGCCTTAGCGAGAATCTCCCACCTCGAAGTTGCAGGATCCAACTCAAACGTGTGCAGCTGGTTCCTTGTTCTGCTCTATTAAAATGGTTTGAGCTGGAAAATGACTCTAATCAGACCTCGAAGCACCAGAAAACTGACTGGCTTCTCTTCATTGGCTCCCTGTTAAATTCACAATCAAATTTAAAATCCTTTTCCTTACATACGAGGTCTTGAATAATTTTAAAGACCTGTTCTTGTGATTTGATATAAAAATTGAACTGAACTGCAGCACGATGAAGTCAGACTACCCTGAGGTGAGATCTACTGGTGAGACAGTTGATTACTTTATATTGCTTTTTTAAAATTTTGTACATAAATTAAATTGTGCTCATGAACAGTATGACTTTATAATACTCCAATGCATCTGGTCTCAGTCCACTGAAACAGCCGTACTGTAGCTTAACAAACAAGTGGATTGGGGAAGTTCTTTGTCTGCAACAGCAAAGCTGTCAAACATTCAAATATTATATGCTTTTGCATTTTCCATTATGTTTACCACTTAGATGCTCATGCTGCATTTTATTTGTGCAGAAAAACTGAAAACATTTTGTTGATCTCCCTCATGAACCTTCCATTAACGTGTTAACAGCAAAATGCTGCAACTTTAAAAAAGAGATAAACTGGCAGCAGTTCGAATTGAGGCAGTGCTTTGAAACATGACCCCATACCCACAAACTAACAGAACCCTGCTTTACCTTCTTAGTTTAGCCAAATGAAGACCTCTCTCATTATATGAACAAATACAGCATGTATCACAATCAAAGTCAAGCTGAAGCACCCACTTATGGCCTTTAAGGCTCATAATCCTCCATCAGATAAACTCAGCAACCATTAGGTATAATAATGCCAATGTAGCGTGTAAGTAAAGCAATACAAACGAGGCTTACACATGAGTATGAGAGGGGGAAAAAATGTGACTGTACTGTTCTAGTTCTTACAACTAATAAATACTGCCCCCTGCTACATATTGTAAACTAAGAGCAGCTATAAATGCTGCTTTATTATTATTATACAGGTACCTGGGAGGCAAAAGCCCTATCCAGTAGAGGCAGGTACTGGAAGACGTGGAGCAGGATCTCCTGTGGCAGACACTCCCAGCGGACTTCCTCATCCTCCAAATCTTTCTCCCTCCTCTGCTTGCGGGACCGTTTAAGAGTCTTCTGACACCCACCGCTGGTTCCACCTCCATCCTCCTGCTCGTTCCCTTGGAGACCTCGTTTCATCCTGGGTGAAAAGATGAGGGTTTAAAATCCAGACAGATGAGCTGAGTTTTTCTGCTCGCCGTTGTGCATGTTATCCCAGTTGTTTTTATTTTTGCAGCCCATATATGGAAGCCTGACACATGACCCTAAAGCCACAAATATTTTTATTGGGTAATCTGGTTAATTATATATAGATTTGCTTATTTTGGGTCATGAACTAGTAAAAACAAAAACAAAAATCATTTCACAGCAACATATATAGCTGTTGTGATAAATATGTGAATCTTATGTACCCATTTAAAAATTGACCAGCTGACAAAACTACCAGTGCCTATAGATTATCAATGAAAACCAGGAGGAGTGCTTCTCCTTTCTAAATTTAGACTCCAAGCAGGATCACAATCCCCCATGGTTAGGTCAATAACTTGGTGTATTTGACTGAATTCAGCTAGTTAAAAATCAGCAGTTGATTAAACAAGACTATCTAGAACATATGAGCACAAAGGTTTCTACAGTACAGTTCTACAGAGGGGCTGATGGCGCGATATGGCAGCCTCGCTTCTGTCAGTCTGCCCCAGGGCAGCTGAGATGGCTACAACCGTAGCTTGCCTCCACCAGTGAGAATGCGAGAGTGAATGAATAGTGGAATTGTAAAGCGCTTTGGGTGCCTTGAAAAGCGCTATATATATTATTATTATTCTTATTCTTCAATAATTATTTGTGCAAAACTCTTGAGTTACCCCTTGTTTCTTTATATTTTGCTTAAAATGAGCTCAACTTCCTTGTATTTTCTTAAGCGCGTTTGAATATTAGTTATCCAGGCTTTAAGAAGGCCTTTTGCAGTTCTTTTCTGGACATTGGTTGCTTTTTCATTCATTCATTTTCAGTCCATTGTACTTTAATGTGCCTTTCTCTTATTTTTGAAAACATTTCTCTTGTTTGCCATTTATTCATGCCGTTTACCATTTATATTTTATTCCTGCACAGTTGGTGGGGAGCACCCATAATCTTGCTGCACATGCACAGTGATAATAAAGAGCTATTCTGTTCTATTCCTTCTAGCTGACCATTTTAAGAGGAATGTTTTTGCTTGTTTGTTTGTTTAGACCTAACACTGACCGTTCAAGCATAAAAAGGCACCTAAATTAACAGTGTTGTGTCAACACATAACAGACAACTTAGCAAAGAACCAGTTTTACATTGTATCTTGGGCACTTCATTTCTAGTAGCCTGTAAGAAAGACACAATTTGTTTCCAATGTACTGTATTTAGCTCAATATGTGAAAAATGCTTAAGATAGCATCATCTGCTAACCATAAAAAATTTATTTTTGCACCAAGGTGACTTCCAAAGTACTATTAGACAACAACTTCTAATATCTCAGTATGGTGTGCAGAGTGTCCTCAAAAGGTTTGAGAAAACTGGACAAAAAAAAATTTCTCTAACGTTCACTGAAGCTCAGCAATGGTCTCATAGGAAGGGTGGCTGAGAAGAAGCCATTGTTAAGGAAGGGAAATGTGGAGAAAAGACTGAAGTGTCCCAAATGATACAAGAACTGGTCTGTGGATATACGTGAATATATCCAGATATTACACGAAAGCTGTTCAGGCTGTGTTGAATAACAAAGGTGATCATACTAAATATCGATTTTTAAGCTTGTTAGAACTGTACAAACTATTTTGCGTTTTACACTGTATTTCCCTGTATGTTTGCACATGTTTACATACAAATGCAAAGTTATATATAAATACATATAAAATCTAAATAATCAAAACGTTTGCATACTGCTGCAGATGCAAAAAATAAAAAACTGGCCTTTAGAAAAAAAAAGCATGAAAACAGAAATAATATTGCATTTTTATATCACGGAATATATAAAGGAAGTATATTTAGCTGTCATTCTTGTCAAAACTAGAGATGGCACGATACCACTTTTTTATGTCCGATACCGATATCATAAATTTGGATATCTGCCGATACCGATATGAATCCGATATAGTGTTTTTTAATCAACAAAGCTGTTTTTTAAATATCTTGCTGCATTTTGTATAAGTTCATACTCAAGTTTTAAACAACAACTACACTAAAGCTATTCTGTTATACCTGTATGCAAAAAAAAATATTTCATAGTTCAGCAATACTGATCAATCTAATAAACTTAAACCTACACCATCCTCCCTATTCTGGTATTTTAAAGAGTACTTAGCATAAATATTAAGCAACCTAACTAATAGGGTTCCAACTCCCAGCAACAACAAAAATAAATAAATAAAAAATAGGGAACCACCCCTCACGCTCCACCTCATGATGCTTAATCGACGTAATCAACCTTAATTTGATGCAGTGTGAAAAAAAAAATGCACAGAAATCAATTATTTTTCAAGAAATATTAAATAGATTCAACAGCTTTCTTCAACAAAATTGCAGACTGCACAGATGGTACCTTCCCAAAGGAAAAAGTACTATAGCTTACTAGGGTATATACAGTATATATATATTAGACTTAATAGTCACTATATACAGTAATGGACTTCTATTCATTTTGCATCAAATTAAAACTTTGGGTGTCAGATAATTATTTATTAAAAGCTAGACATTTTAAATGAGAATAAGAAAGAAAAGTATGTCTTTGTGCCCCCTTTTCCCTGTTAATGCCCTATCGGCCCCCCTGGCTAAACTTTGCTAGATCCGCCCCTGCACAGTTACCAGCGTCAGCTACGTAGAAAAAGATCCTCGAGTAGAAAGTAATATTAAATAAATTCTAACAACAGCTTATCAAGCTTAAACGTGTTGTTTATCCGCTGGTTTCCTCTTTCTGGTGCAAAGTGGGCCAAAAGCAAACTAGAGACACGGACTCGCCGATCAGCTGATCGTTAAGCAGTTTCATGATTGAAGTAGCAGCCGGAGAGCGAGAGGCAGTTGTTTGTTAAGCTTAATGCAGGAATGCTTTACAAACATTCAGAGATGGACTTACACACTTGCTTTACTTCTCTCGGGATAACTTTGTCGGAGATGAAATGCCGGGTTGCTAGCGAAGCTCCAAATGCTATCCAGACCACCGACCGGTCCTGCATGCCACAGCCGCTCTATCACGTGATGCATACTGCTCCGACGTGCTAACGTTCTGAGGTGAGTTATGGCTGTTGCAAGTTTTGTGAGGTGCTTTCGTGATATTTAATGGATCGGATTACATTTTTTATTTTTCTCCGATATCCGATCCAGTAATTTAGGTCAGTATCGGACCGATACCGATACGTAATATCGGATCGGTCCATCTCTAGTCAAAACATAACGGTTTTCCAATTTCATAGTACTATTTTACTATGTATGACTGCGCAATGACAATAAAGAGTTATCTTAATTCCAGAAAAAATAAAACTAACAGCTAAATTAATGAAAACTAATGCTGAACATGTTTAATGAATAAAAGGGACACGAAAAAAAGCAAACCAAAACTAAATCGAAAAGAATTTTTTTTAAAAAACTTCAAAGAACGTCACAAAAGCATATTTACTCTGCTGTCCACTAAAGTGTGTGTGTGTGTACTCTGTTTTCTAATGATACATCTTTAGTTTTAACCTGTGGCTGCATGGATACTGGTTAACTAGTTGACTGGTTTTCTAAACAAAAACACTCGTGACGAGTTTCTTTAATCATTAACAATTTAAAACAGCTTACTGCCTCTATCGGCTTTCCCGTTCCCCCAGTATCGGTCGATTCTCACAGGTACGCGAGCACCAAGTTAGAAAGCAACGTGTTTATTTCCTGGAAGTCTGTCCTGACTACTGTGTGCACTGGACCATTCCGCGTGTTTTGCCTCACACACGCTGGCGATTAACTGCAAGAACAGCCTACGTGTTTCCTTCAGCGTTTCTTCTGCCCACCTGAAAATGAAAACAGTACAGATAGAGGACACGCCTCCCTCTGCTTCAACCACCAACACCGTGTGGTCAAGCTGCCTCAAAGTTAGCTTCTCCTCGCTGATACTGTCTTTTAATAAAAGCGCCTTTTCCCACGCATAAATGCCAAGCTGTGGACGCCGTTTAATGCCACCGCAATTTACAGCAACAACACACCCGTCAGGAGTTAGCTTAGCTCAGCCCAACTATACATCTTGGCAACTACTTAGCAAAGTCTACCCACTTAACATAAAACGGTGACTAAAAACAGCTCGATCAGACACTTACAGGTCTACGGTAGTTATTTATCTTCACCCTCCTCACCTGGTTATCACCTCCTCCGTGGGGCTGTTTATTTAGAGACGGTCACTCAACGTCAACCGGGACCGACACAAGAAAACTGCGTCCGAGCTGGCCGACCGATCAAACACATTGGACCATACGACAGCACGGTGTGTCGGGAGGTTAGCGAAAACTGCCGGGAAGCTGGTGAAATGAGGTTTTCAAAAGTGTGCTGGCTTTCCGAGCGCCTGACCTAGTTTCGCTTCTCAACTCTCAGCTTCGCTACTTTGCTTGTCAGCTAAAGATGGCGTTTGTGTTGTTGTGCGGAGCAGCCAGTGGGCTACAGTCGTTCCACGGTTACCGTGAACGGTCAGCAGGGGGAGCAGTTTCACCCTAAGATGTTTTCATACAGAGATATGGGGGTATTCAAATGAGAAGAAGAAGAAATTACATTTTTAAACAATAATATGAAATTGAATCCAAAGAGTGACATTTATGCTATGTCATTTAAATATCCTCATTAAAAATTAAAACATTTTACTTTCCAATAATAATGATACTAATAATAGTAATAAACCTCATTTATATACCACCTGAAAAATTGAGGTGTTGGAGACAAGAGCAATGAAACTCAGTAAAATCAAGGCAGAATGTATGTGTGTGAATGAGAGAGGCAGGTGTAATAGGGAAGCTGCAAGGAGTGAAGTTTAAATACCTGCGGTCAACCATCCAAAGTGCAGATAGAGCACAAGAGAGGTGGGGACAGGGTGGAGGGGGTGGAGACAAGCGTAACGGGTGATTTGTGACAGAAAGAAAGGAGTAAGAGTGAAAGCAAAGGATTAATTGCTATGACATGTGGTTCGGAGAGAGTAGTACAAGCAAAAAGAAGTCTGAGCTGGAGGTGGCAGAGTTGAAGATGCTTTTTGTTGGGAGTGACCAGGATGGATAAGAAATGAGAATATCAGACAGACAGCTCAGGTTGTTTGGACATGTGCAGAGCAGGGTTAGTGGATATATGGGACAAAGCTTGTTGAAGATAAGACTACCAAGCAGGAGGAAAAGAGCAAGACCAGAAAGAAAATTCATGGGTGTAGTGATGGTGTAGTGGTGGACATGCAGAGGGTTGATGTTATACAGGAGGAGAACAATTGCCACTATATTTAAGAGAGAAGCCCACCATGCTAGGAAGTAAATATAGACTGTTACTGTCTCTCAGTCAGGATAACATATTGGTTGTGCACAGGTAGTGTCATGTTCAAACAGTCTTACCACAGGAATTTAACTAATCCTCTGCTTCAAACTGGGAACACAGTCCTGTCCTGGCATGTCACTGGCATTGGCATTATTCAGCTCAACAGTCCAATGGTGACTGTGTTGCCTCTGGCTCGTAAGTGTGTACTCTCCTTCACCATGCCCTGCACAGTGAAGACTGGTGAGTGATAAGATCATATTAATACAGATACTGCATAAACTTACAATGCTATGCAGATGATACCAAGCTTTATTTATCCATGAAGCCAGCTTAATCAAATAAATTAATTAAATTACAGCCATGCCTTAAAGACAAAAGCATGGATGACCTGTAATTCCCTAAGTAAGGCAGCACGAGCAAGTCGGGATCAGTGCGTCAGGATCTCCAGAGGTAGGACGGGTTTGCTGGAGAACAAGATGGAAACACAGTTTTCCTTTGGTTGGTTGTTTTCCAGTTCCAATTGCTTCGTGTTGCTCTGCACAGTGAATGTCTCGTCTGAAAACAGTCAGTGATCAGGATCATCAAAACTGCAGCCACAACAGGCTTCCAACTGCATCGCCGTCTCTTCACACAGCGAGGAGTCTCTTATCTGCCAATTTCATCTTGAACGCCTGAAATATTTGTTACCGCACCTTCAACAAAACTACAAAAGAAAAAGAGAAGATATGAGAAACGTTATCAGTTTGAATCATAAATGCTCTCAAAGTCCATGTGTCTTTTTTATAATCAGCTTCTTTTAATCTTAGTTCTCATCTCCAGAATTGTCAGGATTGACATGAAGACATTATTATTGGCACCATTTGCACGTTTGAAAAAAAAATTCTGTGGGTTTTTTTTTTTTTGCCTTCATTGCCTTACACTCTAACTGCCACCACAGCTAGCAGTTAGTGTAAGGCAATGAGTTTTTGCTGCTAAAATGTATGCTTTAACTTCACACTCAAGAGGTTAACTGACATCCAACAAAACAGCTGCTTTTAAAAAAATCCTTTTTATTACTCTTTAATCCACAGAAAAACTTTAATTCCCAAGAAGTGAGGAAAAAAACAGAAACAAACAGTAATCCTGCTTATCATGCTAAAATGCACGTTGGAATTACTTGTGAGCTGATGCAGTTTCATGTTTATTAAACCAGGTTGGTCCTTTTTCCATCCACACGGGCATTGATGGAGGAAGCAGCAAAGGGATACAAATGCAGTACATACAGAGGTATAGATATATATTTATGTAAAATACGACAGGATGCTTTCACACAGCTCTCCTGAATACTTTTATCATCATTCTTTGAAGTCATGGCGAGGAGTTTTAAGCGAGCTATGACTAAATTCGTCAGACAGAAGCAGCTGTGGAGTGAAACCCAATGCATCCACAAAGCTCAGCCTTCCGAGTTAGAAATATAGCCCATGAATGCACAAAGTTCTTTACATGTAGAAATAGGCAGCAGGTAGCTAACATCAACACCACCACAGCATTCAGAGACACGGGTTTTAGTAGATTGGACAACTTTGAATTCATGAAAGTTTTCCCCTAAAAAACATGGAGATCAACAATGATTTAAATTGAGTATATTCTCTGGGCAGCACACGGACACAGTCATGTTTACTTTGGGGTTTCCTTCATTCCTCTGTTTTCTCAAAGCCTCACCTTCTAAAGATATTTAGGAACATGCCCAAATCTTCTCTTCACAAACATGACATCCACCTGCTATGAGTTATGAAGACTTGTTAAGCAACAGCATGTGATCTGAGGTGTGACAGCGCCCGATGATTAAACACTTTTTGTCACACTTGTGAAACGTTTAGAGGAGAAAGATGTTTTAGGGGAACAAGCGCAGTGCAGCATCATGCATTAGTTAGTTGGTCGTTTCATTATGAATGCAGGAAAAAAAAATCATTGTTCCTCACTCAGCCTGCACACTGTGGCAGCGAGTCTGATACAGCTGTAAGTTTTTGTTTTCCCAAAAATCTTTGAATCATGCAGTTATAGTGACTGTCAGACTGAGGTTGTATAATTTGAAAGTGAGATTAAACACGTTTAAAACACACTTTATTCCAGAGCCACCCCACCTGTTATTTAAAGCATACCCATTAGTAAGTGAAGCCGTGGTAAAGGACCTTAAAGTGATTTCCACGAATGTGTGGTTCTTTTAATTTTCCAACATAAAGACATGAGTGATGCTCTTTATTTGTTTGCCTGTGAACCCGTTTATGCAAAAACAACCAGGCTGAATTTATTGAAACTCAAAACTGGAGCATGTGCCAAGAACATTGAACTGTAGAGATTGTGGTATCAGCTGGCGTTCTGGTTTCAGACACATTACTGCCATCTTCTGGTGTCTTTAGAAACAGTCACAGGGAGATGAAGTTCTTGTGTTGAAATATGAAAAGGCTGCCAAAAGTAATTTACCCCTGCATATTAATAGAGACAAATTACAGTTATCACACTGCATTCTTGCCAGATTCTTTCTGAAATTGAAATGTTTTATTTATTTTTATCTGTTTGGAACAATTAATTTCTGGAGAGTCAAACCTAATTTAATTTCCGATGAAAACATCTTTATACACATCCCGCACACACACATTTTCCTCTGAAGCGTGTTTTGCTGAAAGGATTCAAATGAATACACAAAACCTCAGTGAAATAATGATCTTTTTAAAAAGAACGTATTAGTGGGACGTTTGTGATCTTTAAAACATTTAAACAGTTTAGGCAACTTGCAAAGACAAACATAAGTGTAATATTCCTGTGTTATATTTTCATAACAAAAGAATATTACACTTATGTTTGGAGCCTGTCTTTGCATGTCCACCTCATTCTCATAGACCAAAGACTATGATGCCATAACTAACTTGACTAGTTTTCCTGTTACGATGTCACAGGTGTGTGAAGAACAGACACTGTTAATTGACTTCATGCAGGATCTTTCACCCACTTACCCATCAGTTTATTTTGTGCACGGTTCATTTTTTCCTCAAGTGTTTCACCTTAAATGTCATTGCATACTACTGCTGCTCTTGGACACACTGCCATTTTTATGAAGTCTCACAATCTTTGTTATCACGTTCACTGCGGGCAGTTTTAACACTTGTTGCATTAAATGCAAATCCAAAACTGAGAAAGCTGAGAATTTTACAGGCTCTTTGAATCACAGAAATGAGACGGGTGCACTTTGCACTTTCAATGGAGAGAGTTGTAGTTCGTGGCCTGTTGTTCTACATGATTGATCTTGTACACAAATTTTAAACAAATAGCCTATACTTCAACTTAAATGTTTTGCTCAGTATTGCGTACATGCATACATTAGGATATCTAACAGTATGAGTGGCCTGTTCAAACAAACAAAATGTATGCATGCATGCTTGGGGCAATGGAAATTTTATTTATTTGTTGCTTGAAACCAGACAAAATGTATGCAGGTTCATTTCAGTTACGCTGTAAGATTAACTGTCACATCATTAAGGATTCATCTCATTTGTGCAACTTGTAGAAGGTCAATGTGATGTGTATAGTCTAATAAATGTCCAATTACACTTATTCATAAGTGAAGCACTGTTATTTTCACATTTTATGTTGTTGCTGCTCCACAAAAGGTTGGTGTTTATTTGTTTAAACCTTGCTATGACAATCATTTAGTGGGTTTGGATCAAATTGCTGCTTGTCAGTTACCAACTAATACAACATCATTGTGGGTGGAGGGAAAGCAGCTTTGAGACCAGAACAAAGAGTCAAAGACATACAAAAAAAGAAAAAGAACAACAGACTTTTTCCATCAGTACTGATGAGCCTTTGTAGTATTCACATTACAACCCAACTCTGTAATGTGCGAGTTAAGACAGGTTAGAACAGTATTAATACAATACCCATATGGAGCCGATTAGACCCAAAAGTGTAAGACTGTTCATGCTTCAGAAATATATGCAATGAGATTCAAATATTATGTTCTGTAGTTCAAGCAGTTTCTTGAATTTAGGATTAAAAAAAAAAAAGAAGAAAAAACAAAGACAGGACGGCCACAGAATGGAACAGAAATCAAACTGTAAGTCTGAAAGTGCAGTACAACTGCGGCGCTCGAGTCCCCCACACAGTCGCCCAGCCT